GACTAGAGAAGTGGATTTGCAAGTTCTAATTATGAAATGTCCCATGCTTTAAGGGGTCATTTTTAAAAATACTTAATTTTAAAAAAATATTTAACGTAAAACTTCCAAACTTCACACATGTGGAATATTAATTCTATATATTTTATCTCATTCTTATTTTATTAATTAATTTCATAGCATTTCGTGTGTGACACTAGTAGTAATTATTAATTAAATTTTATGCAGTTTCTGATCTATGTTTTGATTTTGTTATTAATTACGTTAGTTTACATAAGATTTAAAATTATGTAAGGTACAAAAACCTTCTGCATCTATTAATATATGCTGAAGTGAATGAAATTATGCCAGTGAAATTTTTTAAAATCAAAAACAAATTTCTGTGGAAAATTAAAGTTATAAATTCTAAATGCAAACAAAGGAGTGAATTTGAAAGTTATCAAATAAGCCAAAGTGTTGGTCATTTTTTTCAGTTTTGCAGAAGAATTTTTATACTTTGCAGAATGGGAATATGATGTTTGGTTTTGTTAGTATTAATTATTACAACTGAATTATTGCAACTTACATTGCAACACGTAATTTAGCTTAAAATTTATTTGAACTTAATTTTCTAATTTATTTTGATCATGTATATTTCATGTGTCATAAGTCTTTGAAATGAACTTAATTCTCATCCTATTTATTTACACAATTTTTTTAAAGAAGAAAAAAGTCACATTTGTTTTGCTTAGTTGCACACGAAGATACATGTCTATATATAGAGAGAGAAAGAGGAGTTATGTTTACTTGCAGACTTTTTTCCCTCCTTTTTACTATTATAGTATGAAAATCAAGGGGAAAATTAAGCAATCAATTTAATTTTGAAGGATGTGATTACAATAAGATCATAACCAATCAAAAATATTCATTGAATGAACTACTGGTAACTATCATAGTATTATTATTTAAAAGAAACCTTCATTCCAACAAGAACGCTTAGTAACATAACCATTTAAGTTATCTGATAAAAGTAATTTTCATTCCTACTTCCCTATACCTTGACGGCCGAGCGGTAAAGTCGCTGAACACTGGTAGTTCGGTCCGATTCGAATCCCGCGAACGGGCTGGCTGCATGGGCGTTTTCGTGGGTTTTCCCCGTTGTAACGTTATACGAGCCAGTTCCCTTAGAAAGTTCTCCACGAAGGCATCCTCCCCTTAGCAGATAGCCCTCGTGTGCTTTGCCATAATTAAATACACCACATAATTAAATACACCATTCCTATTTCCCTATACCTTGAATTTCATCTTATTATTGTCCACTTGCTACTCCCTAGACCTCAAAATGCATTTAATGCATCTGGAACTGCAATTTGTGTCTTCTTCTACAGCATGCAAGTTATCACCGTTCAGTTTGTACTACCACGAGCAATGATCTTCAGAATTACCGTATTGCGTTGCATATTCCACCCCCGACCCAGCTTTAGAACCAGATTCTGAAAATTAAAAAAAAATATTTACATAATTTTCCCCTTTTTAATGCATTCAGAAAATGAATATCCCAAGATTTTAAAATGGATTATCAACATAATGATTGTTTTCGTCATACTAACAAAGGCAAACTTTTGCACACTTAAAGGCCCCGTTGAATCTTTCTCTTCTAACTGTTGAATATTATGTCAGCCTAATACAAACAAAATGATCTATGATAGTGAAAGCAAATACCAACTGCCATTCACTGTGCAATTTTTGCCATATCAGCTGAATGTTCACCCTAGCAAGCATCGGACCACAACCTTCTCTAATTATTTATGTATGATCTGAGGCCTAAGGATTTGCAAGAACAACAATGAGAATGACAGAAGTTCAAATTATAAAGAAAGAAATGAGATAACTTATTAGATGCTTGCAATTATGTGTATTCTTATTGAAATAGAGGTTTCTTTTAAATAAATAATATTGTGATAGTAGTAGTTTATCCATGATTACTTTTCATTTGTTATATTCCTACTGTGACTGTGTCCTTTGGAAATTAAATTATTCGTTTAATTTTTCCCTCTTAATTTTCGGAAGATAAATTAGTAAAAATAAGTGGGAATATGGCATCAAGAGCATTAGATATCCCCATTTTCTTGAAGCTGTTCACTATTATTGTTTCATCAATGATAGGCCATGCACCCAAAATCCACTAGCAAATCAGTTAGTAAGATGAAAATGACCACTATGCAGGACAAAACATTTAGGGTAACTTGTTTTGTGAGCGCCTTAAGGAAAAAACATTACCTAAATCATTAAAACATATTCAGAATCCTGTGCTAAAAGAAAGCTAGGGGAAAATGTTTGTCCGAGTCCCAGTGATTCCTTTGGACGAATATGTAATATTGTTTTTAGAAATTTAAGGTAATAAATATATATTTTCGAATGCTAAAACAGTTCGAGAAATTTATTCAAGTTCTGAATTCTGAATATAAGTATACTGTATATTATATTTAATAACTATGGTGGCTTCATTTATGAAAATATTTGAATATTGGCTGTTTTTGTACAATGAACCTTCTCTAAGCTAGCTATACGTGATTCCTGAAAATTTTGATCTTTAAATGATTGTGGGCATCCTAGAGAAGTTATGTTTACTAATTAGTTATTTTATGAGGAATGCTGGTTAAATTAAAAAGTGATTGACTGAGGTAGCTTGTCGTAATGAGACGGTTCACTGTAATCCAATTTTTTAAAGAATTTAAGCTGTTCTTAATTAATTAAGATATTATAAAGAAATATGATTAAAAGTGTTATATAAGCACATGTTTAAAACATCTATTAAAATATTTTTATAAGCTTTTTAAGAGCATGATTATGATTTTAAAAGAAATGTTTTTTTTCTTTATTTAGGAGACATGGTTTACAAAGAGGGGAAAACCAATCATTTTTTTCCAAGCAGTCGAAACGAATTTTTATGAAATGTTTATTAAATTATATTATGTTATTTTTTTAATTAATTCTTTTTTTCAGGTTTTATGTAAAGTTTATGAATTAAGTAATAAATTATTTTTACTTCTGTATTTTAATTAGCATATATTTGCTTCATAGTGTTTCACAATAAAATTATAAATTCAATAAACTTCTTAATTAACATGCTGTAATATAGAGAGAGCATAAAGTTCGTTTTCTGTTGTCACATGTTTATTTCACAATTTTGTATGCGAATCTCGAAATTTATAATAACCAGGAATACTTTTTTAGTATCACTTTCGAAATGGTAAATATTAAGCTTAGATTTATTACATATTATATTTGTAAAAAATTATAGGTAAAATTAAAATGCATTAAATTAAAAGCTAAACTGAAGTATTAATTTGAGAAATAAATTTCTTAAAGGCATAATTGTATTAAGAGTTTTAAGGGAAACAAGGTCAGTTGGCAAGGTTTTATGCTTATTCAAAAAGCATGACATTAGGTTTTTAATGAAAGACTTCTATCTGTTAATTCAAAGGAAATTATTTGAAGGTAAGTAAAAAAGTTATGCATTATTTCAAACAATAGCAGACTGTTGACAAACACTGAGTGCAGATAAGAATAAAAATATTAGTTAGACGTTGTAATTCAAGCATATGAACAAAATTTGAATTCCTTGCAGTAACAAAATGAAGTTCATTGCTATGTTGAATTCTTTAATTTACTGAAAATGTCATTTTTTAGAAGGAGAGAATATATTTTTGAAATATGAAGAACAGCTGAGTTCTTCATAGAAATATTTCACAAAATGTCTTTTACTGTAATAATATGATGATATCAACATGCAACACGTTTACTCATATAAGTTAAATCTAAAGCAACATGTGTCTATTTTAGCTAAATTACTAAAAAGAAAGTTCTAGAACATATCTTATTAACTGACACTAAAAAACATGCAAATAAAACATACTATTTTTTTTCAGCTATTTTTACAGGGCAAATATAAGGAGTAGCATATCAATTTGAACTTTTAAATTAATCAAAATGATAATATGAAAGGCCTTTCAATAATATCAGACATAAGTTTCTCTTCATAAAACAAAAATACTCTGCAACAGACTAATGTTACTTTTTGAAAAAGAACATTGCTGTTGAAAGCACATCTTTTAAATTAATGCTATTCTGAGGTCAAATTGACTAATTTAAAAAGCCAAACTATTATGCTTCACTTGCATATATCTGTATAATGATATACACATGCAGATATTGTTTTACTCAAAACATCTTGATTTTATTATAATAAGCATCATTTTAGACCAAAAAATCTATTGCTTTTATAGACATATCCTTTAGTATTATCTATGAAAAATATATTCTACACACACATAATTACTTAATGGGATATTAGAAGGAAATAATCTGAAACCTTTACAGATACAACCATTGGAATTTTACGTAAGAAAAGTATCTTCTACTCACATAATAACTTGCTGTAATAATACAAGCAAATAACCTGTAACGGTTACAGATATATCTGTTGAGATCTTTACATGAGAAAAACTGTTCGTTTTACATAATTATTTGATGTAATATTACACGCAAATAATCTGTAACCATTACAGATATATCGTTTGGGATTTTACATGAGAAAAATATGTTCTACTTACATAACTATATGCTGTGATATTACAAGAAAAAGATCTGTAACCATTACAGGCAAAACTCTTGTAATGTTACAAAGAAAACACCTGTTTCTGTTACTCAAATAACCCATGGCATCCCAGTTTCCATGAGTTTTCTTAGTAACCTTACAGATTTTTTTTTTACAGTGTAGGTACATATTTCAACTTCAGCAGTTTCAAATTAACATATGCTTTTGTTTTTATAATTTTAAATTAATAACTTTGCAACATAAGTAATTTTTTTCATTGTTTAATTTTATACACCAGTGTAAAAAATAATAGTTATTAAGTATTGTGACTTTTCTACAGAACATACTGAAGTTTTTTTGAAACATTTAATGTTTTAAAAGATTTTTTAGCAATACTTATTTGAGTTGCATTAAGTCTACTTACTTACTGTTCCAGCTTCCAAATTATAATTGAAGGCAAAAATATTCTTATCTCCAGAATCAATGAAGTAAAGTGTATCGTAGTTCAGTGACCATGCTATACCATTGGGTAAACTCATGTTTTCTGCAAATGGTTTGAAATTATAAGAAGAATCCATTCGAAATAAACCGCCTTTTCCTATTGCACCTGGAACTAAAGCACCTAATAAAAAATGAAAAGAGTAGTGAGTAGAGACTGAATAAAATGAGTGACAAAATATGTGCTGCTTACAAGTAAAGATACCAATAAAATTGTGCTGTGAAAAACAAAATCTGAACTCTCTCAGATTTTATAATAAGCCCAAATAGGCTTTTTTTAACGTTTTGTGTGTTACCTTTATTTATTAAATATCACGTTTTTCGTACGTAAACCATAATATTCAGTTCATTAGCAATATCACGAAATAATTTTAAAAGAACATGTCTTTGTAATTTCCAATACACAGTCTCGCGTGCTGGAGATAAATTCCCCCCATACCATAGCTATCTTTGAAATTGCTGAGTTTGTTAATCAGAACTCATAAAATCATTCATCATTACAAAATATGAAATAAATAATAAATTCCAAATTTGGTTTTCCAGATGCCCATGTTCAGGTGGAGACATATGTTATTTAAAATTTCATGACTCTAGGTATCGGTTGTTTTATCACAATATTAGAAACATACATACACTTATGCAGATTCTTCATTATATAATTTCTTTAAATATAATACCGGGCTTTATTGTTTGGTGGCGCTTATATTGTTTTTTAATATAAAATGTTTTCCTACGTGATGTCAATTAAAGGAACTTGATCTTAAAAATTAAAAATAGTCTAATTATCTGGAGAACTCCATTAAAATTTGAAAAAAGTGTTAATTCAAAAATTTTAGTTGCATAATATTTTTTAGATTTTCAATTTATTTTCTACTTCTGAAGATAATCCTAGGTAATTTGCAGAGTTTCATTTTGCCATTTGAAAGTAAGATTGCTGGCAAGGAAGCTTGCAATATGATAATAATTAGACAGGTCTTTGTTGCTGTTATACAAGAATAGACTGATAATTAATTTGTCTTTTTTTCACATGTTACTGTCGTATTCAGTTGTTTCGTATCTTTTCAGTTGCTTTTTAAATTCATTATGCTTTCATTTTAAAATATTATTTAACAAGATAAACTCATAATTTAAAAAATGTATGTTATATCAAATATTGTAAATCAGAGAAAAGGAATGAAATTATTTTTGTGTATTTATTTCACCAAAAGCTGTCATATTTATTATACTTTTTACTGAAATGTTTAGTAAAATGGGTAATAAACTCAGTGGTGATATTTTGATGGCACATTTGTGATTAAGCAAATTTCATTCCAAGTTTACCTAAGTTATCATGCACGAGAAATTTACTCTTAAATTGTTTTGTAGAGTTCAGATAAATTTCATGCCATGTAATAAAGCTTAGTCTGTGACACTGTTGGCCCTTCATGAAAAGTAATGCTGACCTTTTTAATTTGTAAATGATTTTCAGTTTTTTACGAGTACAATTTATTATGTTTAGAGTTTGCTCATACTTTTAAAACTTATTGGTCTGTTCAAAAGAAGTTTTATTTAATTTTCCATTTTTTCCCATTTTCAGTATTTTTCCATCAAGCATTAAATTTTGAGAAGTGGGAATTACCAAGCAAATAATAAATTTTAATTGATCTTGAGGGGTTTCTTTTTATAGTAATGATCCAGTTAATTCAAAAGTGTTTGAAAATACACAAGTGTAAACGAATTTGCAGTTTTTGTTTATTGCTTAAAAAAAAGGGGGAATCTCAGATAAATTGGATGATAGAACAAAAATTGAATTCGTGTTAAGTTTATTGAGTAAAAATTAATTTCGTAAATTATTGCAATGCAAAATGAAATTTAGAGTGAAGAAAGGTAAATATGTAGGTACAGCTTGATGCAAAAAATGCATAATCAGAGTTTTTAAGCGATTTTAAAAAATAATGCTAGTTTTTAAACTTTTTAATGATAACATTTTTATAAAAGCATTAAAAAACTTTACAGATTAAAAGTATAAATAGAAAAGGGGTGACTTTTGAGAAACTCGGTGTGCCTTTAAATTGATGGTCATTTTTTTTTTCATGCTAAAACATATAGGGCTTATTTTGACAATAAATTGAATATTTACTCAACTGATAACTAGTATTGGAATCAACATTTAAATGACTTGCAAGTAGCGTTATGTTGCAGCGCGAAAGATAAACGTTCTGGGAGGACAGGAAATCCACATGTTTTTCTGCTTATTTTACTATATTTCGTTAATATGTTGTGTTATTCTATCTTCCCATAAAATGTAGTGTCGCTTATGCCCCGGTCGAAGGAATTGCTTCTTTCTTTCGGGGCTTTTGTTTTAAAAGATGCTTTTTGACTACAGGTATACTTTTTTTCCTTGGGGCTTTAATTTTCAAATTAGTCAAAGCCTGAAGCATCGAAATATGTATATGTTCGGTGAAACACCGAAATCTGGAGAATGTCGACTTTCACCGGTGAATGTCAACAATCATATAGTCGTTTGGTGTATGTCCGAAATATTTTCCAAATACTCTTATTTCTGACTTACACCGGTGAATGTCGACATTACATGTACTAATGGTGAATGTTGAACATATAAGAATATTATATTTCCTTCTCCGTAATTCATTCACGAAAAAACGCACTTGAGACTCAGAATAAGAACTTAAACTATTTTGACACTTTGAATTGCACAAGAGGCCCTTGCTTTTACAACTGCATTTATTTGTGGAACACTTCCTTTTGGAATGGCAGCATGTACATATACTCCTCTCTTTTCGACCTACACCAGAGCATATCTGTGATTGTCGACATACACCGGTGAGGGTCCGAATGTACAAGAATGTAAAGAAATATTCGATCTTTCACCGACGTATTTGGTGAATGGTGACATTCTCCGGTGAAAGTCAACATTCTCCAATTTCGGTCTTTCACGGTAACATATATATCCATTATCATCGACCTGCGGGTTCCTGATGATTTTGTTCTCCTACGGAGGCCTTAGTTATAGTGTAGTGAAATGACGTTCAGTATCAGTATTTATTTGTACTCTTAAGAAATACAAGGTATACTTCCTAAAAAACGTTTAAACTGCTTTAAATTACAAAATATCTGTATTATATTATAAAAGATAACGCATATAATACATTTATTTTGTGGCACAAGTTACTGTCTCTGAAAAACTCCCAAATTTTAAATATATTTGTTTAATGATTATAATACTATATTTGTGTTGCCATGATTAAATTTGTGAGAAATACTGTCTCATGAGCTTCGACGAAACCTCATCCTGATATGAATGTTGCAATGACTTTACATGATATCAGCAAATAAATCAGATTTGATTTAAGTTAGGATGATATTTTTAACATATCAACTATGTCATGTATTGGTCCGATACGAGTTAATCCGATACTAAACGCTTAAACCTTTATTGGCTATTTGTTCTTTGTATGTTAATGACTTAAGATGTCTCTGGTGTTATACTTTAAAAATTCGTGGCAATATTGTGGGTAAAATCATGCAATTTTAAGCTTGAAGATAAAATCGCCGTCATAAGCCCACCAGCGGCCGAGCGGAAAGTTGCTGAACACTGGTAGTTCGGTCCGAGGTTCGAATCCCGCGAACGGGCTGGCTGCATGGGTGTTTTCGTGGTTTTCCCCATGTTTAACGTGTATACGAGCCTGTTTCCCTTAGAAAGTCCTCCACGAAGGCATCCATCCTCTTAGGCAGATAGGCCTCGAGGCTTTGCCGTAATTAAATAACCTAACCTAACCTAAAATCGCTGTCACACAAGAGGAACCATTTTTTCACTTTTATTCGAAACTGTTTTCTTGTTATAGTTTTCGAAATCTGTGAAGTACTCTGGTGTAGAATTTGGAGACTAAGCTGATGACATATATATATATATTTAAAACCAAGTGTAGAATTGAATTTTGGTAACTTTAGTATTTCCAACATACTTTGCATTTCATAAGTAGCTGTCATTAGGCGGCATCAAGAGACTGCCGTTTTCATTAACCCTTTCTGGCACGCTATCTTTTAAAGTCGAAGTTTTGATTAAAAAAAAAGGTAGGTTATAGGTTTAGCTATGACTTTATTTTTCATCGACTAAGTATGCAAATGAGCGAATTTTAATCAAAACTGTTATTAAATGCACGGGTGTGAAACATTAATGAACAATTAATGAAAGTGGCTCTAACCCCTATTTCCTTTTAGCTAGAAGCATAAAATTTGCAAAAAAAGGGCTTAATATTTTTTCATGTTGGGAAATGAAAAGTATTAACATTGTTGTGAAAGTAGCATAGGTTTTAAACGCAAGAACAAAGACAGCAATAAATTACTGAACAACTAAACATAGCAATATACGAGGGCCATCCAGGAAGTAGATACTATAGGTAGCGCGGCCATTCTTGGCAGAAATCTAATGAGAGGTAAACTGTTTAATAATTGAAAATCCCGCGAGGTGTCAGTAATAAGGTTTCTAAAAAACTGTAAACATAAAATCGGCAGTTCGTGAAAACAACGAAGAAAGAGGCGAAAAAGACGAAGATCGAATTTTCTCGACGATCTAAACGAGAACTTCTCTTTTTCGCTACGAAGCATTGGTTACCACAAGTTTGCGAAAAAATTTTGACGAAGGAATTTCTAGGTACATATAAATGCCTTTTTATTATATTAGAAAAGTAGTATTAGTGTGTTTCAATATAATAAAATGTTTCCTATACTTTGTTTTTTTTTCCAAAAAAATCACATAGCTAATATATACTAGTAAGCATATAAAGTAAAAATATATAAAATATATAAAGTTGCTATGTAAAGTAAAATTTTAACAAGAAGCGATTTCTTTTGACAGAAATACAGAAATGGCAATATTTACTCATGCTGTTAACTAGGATTTTTGATAGATTTTTATTGAAGCAAGCTCCACTGCTCCCGGAGTATTCTAGAAGGAGGTTAGAGTTTTAAAATCTTGCACCTAAAACGTTCCAACAAATTAAATTGAATTTAAGTCTTGGCAGTGGGCAGGATAGAGCAACAGCGCTGGGAGATAATCTGTTTGTCCTTTAAAGCAATTTACTCATCTTATATCTATATAGCTACACCATTACGCTTTTAGAAACTACCTTTTGCGGCCATTTGACATTTCTTCACTTTTAAATCTGTGACTTTCTAGGATGCTGCTCGAAATATATCTTGTCTTTGGCTCTCTCCGGATAAATAATCGTCTTGAATTTCTCTCCATGCAAAATATAAATCCATTTGTGAAGAGAACTCCTTTCGAATTCATGTTACTTCTTTCCTGATGCTCTCTTCACCTTTTCAACGGCATTCCTTGAAACTGAAGTGAGAGGATCGCTTACTTATACAGAATCTCTTTCCTTTAGCCAGTAGGTATAGTAATACAGCTATACGTGTCACTCTGATTGCATTAAATGTGCAAGCAGTCTTTTGTGTTGTCATTTGCAATGCCTGATTTATAAAACTGGAGGCTCTGGGTAAAATTTTTTATAAAGCCCCTCTGATATTTTCCTGTAGTATATGTCACTGGTGCAAATTATGTAAAGTAGTACATTCCATATAAAGCATTTCACGAAACACATATATAATTCAACATTTTTCATTTAATGTTATTTAGGCAAAAAAAGTGCATTTTTATATGCTTTATTATTTATGCTTTGTTTTCATGGTTTAGTATGTGTTGTAAATTTACACATTTTCAACCAGGATCTTTTTCTTCCCCATAAATAAAAGCCAACAGCCTATTGAATTTTTATTGAAACTGCTATAAATCTTAATGACATATTAATGCAAATTATTCTTCAATTCATTAAAGAAATATATGAATAAAATGTGGAATTAAAAAATTCAGTTTCTTTCAACTATGGAAGAACTAGTTTCTTCTGATAGGTCTTTCCCTGCTAATTATTTCTTGATCATCTTAAACATTAATTCTGAAATTGTTTAACAGATTATGTCATACTGCTTATTATAATTCATAATTTGTTATATAATTCTAATCTTTAATTTTATATGAGAACTATTGCAGTCTTTTTTAATATTTTATTTTTCTAATTCTTTCTTATTTCTTTTTCTTTATTCTATTTTCTAGTAAAAAAAAAATTTCATTTGAAGAACAGAGTTTAATGAAATTTTGTTTAAGCTATATTTAAAGTTACTACTGTCCAGCAAAATATAAGAGATAAAAGCCGGTGCCTGATTTTTAAACAAATTGATAAAAAATACTGAAATATGAAGTTTAACATTTCATTCCTACTTCTAATGTCTTATTTTTAGAGCTTAGAATTAAAAAAAAGGCATGGAATCGTAAACATTTCAGATAGTATGAAAACATTCTGAGACTTTAGACACGAACCTTGTTTCCCTTTTGGAAATCAGACCCTGGTATCCGCTAAGGCAAGAACAGAAAAGAACAAGCCCTGGAAATCCGACTCGTAAAATCTGAAATGATCCTCCGACCTATATGTATAGCACCCACTTACGGTCTTGTTCTAGATGAAGAAATGTTTCTCCTAACTCTCTAAGCTGTTTCTTTAGAATGGGGAAGATACACTAGTATGCAAAACTTAAGTAACTTTTCTCAGTTTGGCCGTAATTCCGCAAAAAATCAACTGACAGACATGAAATTCATACACAGAGGCACAGTGTAGTACTTAAAGGATGAGAAAAGTATAGTAGGGAAAAAATGAATAAGACGCATACGGTATGACACGAATAGAAAACGGCTTTGTAGAGTCATTTAGAATCTTTTCAGTGTCAAAAAACTAAAGAAATCCGCCATTGCCATAGCCGAGATTCTAACTCCGCACTTCCCGAATACGCGTCAAACGTGCTTCCAGTTACACCACGAAGGCATTTGGAAAGGGAAAAAGTACCATATATAATCCCCCATTTAAAGGGCGACTGGGAATTAGGAGACCCAGTCACTAAATCCTGAAGGTGATGAATTCAAGTCCACCACCTTTTAATTCGGGCGCTACTGTAGAGTCATTTAGAACCTTCTCGAAATCACTAGACTGAAGATCCGCAACTATTCTCGTCGGGATTCGAACTCCGGGCTCCCTGAATACGCGTCGAACGGGCTTCCAGTTACATCATGGAGGCATACGGAAAAGAGGGAGAAATACCTTATAACTTTACTGACAGAATGGGGTTGGTACAAAAAACTGTCTGGATGACAAACAGAAGAGCCGTAGTAAGGCATAAGAATTACCCGGGTCCGTGACACTTAGCCGAAAACCACTTAGCCGACGGGACACTTAACCGACACCAGTTAGCCGACAGGGGGACATTTAGCCGACAAGGCCATACTTAGCGACCAGGACATTTAGCCGCGAAGGCCCAAGCCAATTAGCCGACAGGTCATTAGGCCGCACACAGTTAGCAGACCGGACATTAGCGACAAGGACACTAGCGCAGATCATTAGCCACACGACAGTTAGCCGACAGGACATTTAGCCGAAACGGAAGTTAGCCGACAGCGACCATTTAGCCGACATGGACAGTTAACCGAAGGGACAGTAGACGACAGGACGTTAGCGACCAAGAATTCGCGTCGGAGCCATTAGCTCGGGCAGTTAACTGTCAGTATTTTGTCAACAGGAGAATAAGCCGACAGTTGAGTTTAAAATGACCGCGTAGCCAATAATTACTTAATTTACAATCAATTACAAAATATCTGACTTCTCAAAGTTCATATCTACGTTATTTTTTTCTATAGTAAAATTCAGTTCGATTTTTACGATCTCATACGTGTTACTTATGTGTTATTTAGCATTTAGATTGTTGATTGATCGTGTGCTGCTTGGTGTATATTGGCCAAATTGAAAAAGCCCTGAAATTTCTCGTCAGAGAATATTCAGTTTTCTCGTCAGAGAATATTCAGCAACAAACTGAATTTGTTGCTTCAGTTTTGCACACTAGTGTATTTTGTAGCATATTTAGCACTTAGGATTCCTGTATCTGATTTTCTCGAATTCAGTCGCCTTCACTTTCCTCAGTCATTTAAATACATTCTTCTTGTCATATTCAAACGTATAGTGATCACAGTTTATTGTCATTAAGTGAGACTGCATTTATAGCAACAGTTATATCCAGTCTTTTGCTGCCCACTCGTCTGATGTATTCCTAATTTGTCTATTCTTATCAGTCTAGGAATCATTTAAACCCAAACATAACTTTCAAGTCAAAGTCGACGCAAAATCTTGCGTAAAACAAACGCTTTTACTTGACCTGATTATCCTTTAATTTTTCATATTTAGGTACGTAGTTTCAGAATTAGTACTTTTCTTTCCTCCGTAAATGGATTTACTCCGCTTACATTTCAGCACAAGTCATGAAAAATAATTTTGTTGTAAAATCTTGCTTTTGATAATCTTCCTTTAATTTTGGATATTTACTGAAGGAATCCTAAATTTTATTCTCATGATCATTTTAATGATACTATATTAATAAAAAATCTACAGTAATGACCTACCTGCCCATAACCGGCCCTTTGCATCGCATTTTGCATCATTAAAACGAAACTCTGGATTCCCTGGATCTATAGTTCCTAAAATTTCAGATTGCCCCGTTTTGAAATTCAGTTTTCTCACTTGCTTTGTCACAGTGATCAGCAAATTTGAAGGATCAGATTTGTAAGGGATTACGAACGTGGTAGTTCCACCTAAAGGGATTAAAAAAGGAGGTGCTTGAGTTATAAAGTCAACGGGTAAACGAAATATGCCTCTAATTTATAGTTTGAAAAAGAGCAGAATTCATTCTTAGTGCCACATTGATTTCATATGAAAATCTAACATATTCTTTGTAGTGAAGATACATTTAGTTAAGTTACTTAGTAATTATGGTAAATGGTTAGCAGTTGCGATAAAGTTGTTGAAGGTAGAATAATTCGTAATTCTCAAAGCCTATTTGCCTATGTGTAAAAGGAGCTTTCGAAAAGAAAATGGCTGTTATTAGACACCGAAAATATCTTTCTGAGGCTAAAATATACATGAATCAGCAATAAAATCTGGATGGACTGCTAATGATATAAGTCTTTAATCATTAAATCATTGGTGGATTATTCTCAGATTACCATTTGAATTTGATAAAAAAAATTTTTTTCTTGAAATTAGTGCCAGTCTGAGGCTAAATCTTGTCTAAGCTTAATTTTCTACATAATGTGAACAAGTATCTTTTAAACTGAATTTTTTTTATCAGTAAGTATAGTAAAACTCACTTAAATGGTGAAGAAAACATAGTCAGTCCTTAAATCATTTATAAAGCCAAATGTTTTTAACTCCTTTGTTATTTAGAAGTAAATACATGTTTTATTGGTGATGTCAGTTAAATGTGTGCGAAAACAATGAACTATGATATAAATCTGCGTAGAAGCGGTGACTTCAAGAACAGTACCTAAAAGCGAAAATACAACAGCAGGAATATTTTGGAGTAGCATTATGCAAATTGCCAAGAAAACATAGCTCCACGATTAATGCAAATCGTCTAAATTTCAAACTGGTCATGTTATTATTGAAAGAAATGTTTTTTAAAAAAAAGGAAGAAAAAGCGAAATACTTCATCATCGAGCTTCGTTTTTCCTTCCTATGAATTGTTCCTCATACTGAGCTCACTGGCGGCCAAGTGGTAAAATCGTTGAACACCAATAGTTCTGTCCGGGATTCGAACCCTGGCTAAAGGGGGCGTTTTCATGTTTTTCCTCATGTGTAACATGTATACGAGCCAGTTTCTTTTAGCAAATCCTTCGCGAAAACAGTCCGCTTCTGTTAGGCAGGCAGCCCTCGAGTGCTTTCTTAGTGAAACTTTGCATTGACTTTAGTCGAATAAACCAAAACTAGTCAAACGTTTCTCATACTGAGTTTTATAGTTTCCAAGTTTACGCGCTGTGGTAGTCAGAACTCGACTATACTCACTCCGATCTAACTTGAACGGAAATTCATCAAATTTGGCTCTGGTTTTAGTTCCCTGGCCCTGAAACAGCAGGTTTGCATTTCTTTCGTACTGTCCTGGTAGGCATGTATATTTCAAATTAAGAAAATTTTCACATTTAGTCGAAATTTTCACATTATCTCCAGAACTGGAAGAGTTTTAATAAAATTTGACAAATACAGATTTTAAGAAATTTCGGTTAATGAACATTGTGATATAACACAAACTACTATATTATGCAATAGTCATGATGCACAGGCATGATCTATTATGCAATAGTCATATGCACAGGCATGATCATGCGTAAGACTCATCAGTATATAGAAGAGGTTACAAGAAAAAACAAAAATGAGGCTGAAATGCTTAATGCTCCCTTCTAACAAGCTAACAGACATACAGCTCTCATAATGTGGCTTTATATTGGGAATGAGGCAACCTTTGAGTCCTATGGCACTCTATTCCATTTTTGTAACAACGTTTGAGGCCCTAGGGGAGGGGAAAGACGAGTTACAATTAATGCCTCCTAAGAGCGTCTTAGACATGTTCCTAATGTGTAAGTCTGGAGACCTGGTTGACTAATTCGTACGGTTAATATCCTCAGTTTCCATAAAATCACTCATCAGCTTAACCATTCGTGGAAGAGCTTATCATTCATAAAAACGAGCTAAGAGCCAATTGCATCTCTTAAAATGCAAATAAAGATATCGTCGTCCGTTTGTCAAAAAACCTGCTGTTTTCGTTCCACTCAGTTTGCTGGAAAGAGATACCGTTTAACATGGTGCAGAGAATATTTGCTTCGAACCAAGCGTCAGGCAAGATCATTCGTTTTACTGATGAGTTCCCGATTCAGCCTGGCCACTGTTTCCCAACAAACCTTCATCTAGGGAGGACCAGATACCTACTGCCTATACTCTAACGTAAGGAAAGATACCAGTATGGCAGTGGTGGTTTAATTTTCTAGGCAGATATATACTCTTAGGTTATGTGCATAGATCTTCATACTTTGGTAGAGACACTGTGTCTGCTGCTAGGTATGTAATATATATATTTGAATTGTATTAGCATATGTCCATCTCGGATTTCATTGGAATTTGGATATCGGTTCTGGGGATAATCAATCAAATGTGAAAACCTCTCTTAATATGAACAATGTAGTTTCCTATTCAAAAGTCTCCATAAAGGCATCTGCTAGTTGACGCAGATACTAAATAATCATCTCTGGCATGCTTTGCCATAACTAAATAATCCATTCCAAGCCATATGGTGCTCTAAATATAACATATCTTTCAACATTTATATCGCTTGAATAATTACTAATTAATAATTTCATATTTTGTATACTTCCATTTTAAAGATGGAAATCGAAAATGTCAAGTGCTCAAAATTCATAAAATTAATTTAAAAGATAAGGGTTTTTTTAAAAAAGTTTTTAAGGCCTATTCCACTTTTTAAGAAAGCTATTAATTTCTAATTTTATAAAAGGTTGTGTTTTGTTTAATTCTGGATTGTATTATAGGATGAGGCGATAATGTCTTTTCTTAGTTTTATTTAAAAACACAACAATAATAGATACATTAGGTCGAACAATAATAGATTACATTAGGTCGAAACAACACCGATAGTTCTGTCCGGGATTCGAACCCTGGCTAAAGGGGGCGTTTTCATGTGTACATGTATACGAGCCAGTTTTTTAGCAAATATTCCGAAAAACAGTCCGCTTCTGTAGGCAGGCAGCTCGATGCTTTTTAGTGAACTTTGCATTGACTTAGTCGAATAAACCAAAACAGTCAACGTTTATCAAATGAGTTTATAGTTCCAGTTTACGCGCTGTGGTAGTCAGAACTCGACTATACTCACTCCGATCTAACTTGAACGGAAATTCATCAAATTTGGCTCTGGTTTTAGTTCCCTGGCCCTGAAACAGCAGGTTTGCATTTCTTTCGTACTGTCCTGGTAGGCATGTATATTTCAAATTAAGAAAATTTTCACATTTAGTCGAAATTTTCACATTATCTCCAGAACTGGAGTTTTAATAAAATTTGGACAAATAGACAGATTTTAAAGAAATTTGGTATGAACATATGTTGATATAACACAAACTACTATATTATGCAATAGTCATGATGCATACTACTATATTATGCAATAGTCATTAGTTCTCGATAATTGATACCGATGCGACTTCGTGGAAGCAAAAAACGAACTAAAATTTTTTTTTTCAGCTGGTTAGCAGCGTTCAAATTCGAAGTGCAAGATCGTCACGTTTGGCGTAACTACAGTTGAAGGCAGCAACATTCTGCCATCCGCTGAATGATTTCATTCAACAAATAATATACAAGAGAATATCAATTCAGTTATAACAATAAATACTTTAAAAATACATAATATTCCGTATTGGTTGTAAAACATAGTAATAAACATTAATAATGATAAAAATAGAATAAGCTATTCCAAATATACTAAATATATGCTAAATAATGCAAAATGCCAAGTTGTTAGACTAGTTTTAAGTTCACAAAGAATTCACCTGTTTACAACAAAATAGATAATTTTGTTACTGGTCATTTCAACAGACAATTTGAAATTCGAACGGTGATTACCCTTACATTATCATCAGTTACAGGTAATACTAATAATCTCTACAATACGGTCAAGGGACCATTTATAAACGGGCAAATGATTCTCCTTTACCAAAACTACAAAACTGATTTTAACATTATGTTTTTGAAGCTGCCATTTGTTTCTTTGTTGGAGGTGATTTAGTAGTCATTAGTCCATTTTTTCCAAAAACCCTGGACAAGTTTGGTAATTTTTTGCCAACAGCTTAATCTGTTCATAGGCTTCTCTAGAAGTTCTGGTTCTGGAATCGCTATTATAGATCTAAACTTTAAAAAAAAAAAAATGACCTGGAGTTAGAGTTTCAGCACAATCGTCATCTGCCGGTAATGGAGTGATGGACCTAGAATTTAATGTACCTTCTATTTGAAGAGTCACTGTCAGAAATTCTCCATACGTAAGTTTCATTTTCACTACGACACGTTTAAGATGATACTTAAATGATCTGACACCTGCTTCCCAAAGTCCTCTAAAATTGGGAGTTTCAGGAGATAAAAAGATCCCTTTTGCTTCTTCAAAAGTCGAGTAATTTCCTAAAGATTGATCTGGATTCTTAATAAGATTATACAATTTAGTCAATTCTTTACTAGCGCTTAATAAATTTGTTGCATTGTTTAAAAATATGATCGAGCTTTTACCCGTACGAGAGTTCAATGCAGCAATGAAGGTATCAGATGTCAAATCTGATACTAACTCAAAATGAGTACATTTTGCCTTAGTGGCAAAGCAAACAAAGATAACAGCAACTGTCCCTTTCGTTGATGTTTATATAAAACGGGCCGCAAAAATCTATTCCTGTGCCATTAAAAGGTGCACTTAATGTCACCCGTTCCCGAGGAAGATGTCCCGTTATCTGCTCACCTACAATTGGTTTAGCCCTTCTACAAACTATACAATTGTGCACAATTTCTCGTGCCAATTTTCGACCTCCTAGAGGCCAAAACCTTAGTCTGATACAATTGAGCAACGCTTTTGGACCTATATGCATATATTTCTTATGATAATGTTCCATTACTAATTTAGTGAACTGATGATTCGCTGGCAGAATAATGGGATGCTTTTGTGTGAAATTTAAATTAGCACTTTGCAAACGTCCGCTTATACTTGGATTCAATGATTTAAACAACTTTTACCTGTAATCTGAGATGTCCTTTCAGGTTTTTAATATCCTCTAAAATATCTCACTTTGAGTTACCTTGACCAGATATAACTCTGCCTCACTGATTTCCTCTGCTGATAAAATTCCTGTTCCTTTTTCTTGGTTGCGACAGTTATAAATGAACCAGGAAATATAACTTATATACAATAGTATAGTTATTTGTAATATTTAGAGCATTGTAAAATAGATTAATAGTTAATGGTTCAACTAGAAAGTTTTGCAAATGATTTGAATTAAAGTCAAGTTGAGAATCATTAATCTCTGAAGCAGTTTGTTTAGTTTGTTATTCTCTGAAGCTGTTTCAGTTACTAGCGGAAAATCTCATCTAAAGTCTGGCTGAGACATAGTTATATACGAATCACCCACTTCTGTTCTTAAGTATGAAGGTCCATTCCACTATAGTTTATGATGCTCAGTTTGATATGGAGTAACACCTCTTGAAATAAATTTGCATTTTCATTCTGATTTCACAAACTCGTGTGTAAGTTGCTGAATTTTGGCAACTCGATTAGCTGCAAATGTCTTTAACATGTGTGAAGAGTTCCCAATACATGCAAGAACTACAGAGGAGTCACACCACATATATAACTAACCTAATTTCAATTTAAGTGCTTTTAGCACCTTATTTGTTAACTGCGATAGTAACACTGCACCACAAAGTTCAAGGCCTTGGGATAGAAACTGATTTTAACGGCGCAACTCTTGATTTACTACACAAAAGAACTACTGAACTGGAGCCCGATTGCGATATACATTTGACATAAATGCATGCTCCGCAAGCCAATTCTGAAGCATCCAAAAATCCATGCGTTTCAATTTTAACAGCGTTACTATAGACAAAATTTTTCGATTGATAATTACAGCATTACTTTTAGGCATCGACGTGATGAAATTCCTCCACTCACGAGATTCCATTTCGGGAAGCACATCATTCCAGCCAATTTTTAGAAGCCAGAGCTTCTATCCTATTACACCGAGTGAATCAAACATTCGAGAAATATTTGATAAAATCAGTTTCTTAGTATAGTAATCATGTGCTTTTGTAGTTACATTGAATGTGGAAGGGTCTGAATCTGGATTCCATAAAATACCTAACACCTTCGTTTCATTTTTCATGTAATTGGAGAACGAATTATCTTCAGATTTAGTATCAATATTAATCAGCAATTCTTTGTGATTAGCGAACCATTTATGAAAGTTCATGTCTCCTCGACTTAAGATTCACTAACTGATTTTGCAGTTCTTTAGTTTTTTTCTAAGACATCTGTTCCCGACAGAACATCATTCATTTAGTCTTGAAGTCTTGAAGTGTGACTGAAGCAGCTAATGGAAATGCCTTTCCTTCGTCGTGAGCTAATTGTCATAGGAGTTTAGTAGCAAGGAAAGGGGCACTAATAGGGCCATATGTAAGGGTATTCAGTTCGTACGTCTTGATTTCTTTCTGGGAATTTTTCTTCCAAAGGATTTGTTGAAATGTTTTCTGGCCTGTATCTATTAAAATCTGGCGATACATTTTTCTGTATCAGCAATGAACGTGAAAGTGCGTTTCCTGAACCTTATCATAATGGAAAACAAATTTTCCTGCGTTATACCTCCATTCAGTAACTGATCATTTAAAGATGTACCATTTGATGTCTTCGCAGAAGAGTAAAATACAACTCTCAGTTAGTCGAACTTTTCTCTGGACGAGATATATTCCATGATGCGGAATATAATAAGATGGTTCCAAATTTACATTTCGTGTACTTCTTTCATTAATCTAAAGTTTCGTATTCCTTGAGAAAATCTTGATACAAGGATAATAATTTTGGTTCCTTAAGCAGTTTGCTCCATAACGAATTTAAACTCTTTAATTGGGGTATCTTTAGAATTGCCTAGAAGTAAATGGCTTTCACTCTTCATAGGCATCTGGACAACTAACCTTCCATTTTAATATCTATAATGTGTTCTTAAGAAATGATTTTCGCATAATAGTTCTCCCTAATCTAATCTTTACAGATTTATCATCGTCTTCGTCTATCCTTTCAATTTCCCAGAAATTCCGTATGCTCTGATTCAAATTCTCTAATTCTTAAATCAACCCATAATTTCTGTTGATAATATAGCCAAATAAATTTTGAAGTATAAGATCAGAGTTTTTTAGTTTAATTTCTTCGCATTTTAATAAGTCAAAAAAGATTTTAGCACCTATTAGCAGATCAATCTTTCGAGGCGTGTAAAATTAAGGATAAAAAATTCGAAGTTTCTATAGTCTTCTTCTTTTTTATCAAGGATATCGGCATTAAGTTTTTGTTTTATGTTGAAGGTTCTATCATTCAAGCAGGAAACCGAAACGTTAATTTTCTCTCGATCTTAAGCGAAGTCTGGTTGAACATTCAACAGTCATAAAGTTACACATTCAACCGTTATACAACGATTACTCTGCAAGAACAAAGTTCACCACAGCGACCACCATTCATAGCGGCAATTTTAAATAATAAAACTTTTCAACTTCCGATAAGTGAGAATTTTTAGAAATTATGCTATTAAATTGAATTTGTACAATAAATTATTCCAATCCTCATATTGGCCAGAAAATGTTGGCAAAGGCATATCCGGTAATTTAATTCTACTCCCAACATCCTTACCAGTTGAAAATTCTGACTTTCGATTAACGGTTGCTGTCTTACAGAAGTTTTTAACAGTCTATGCTTTCGCGTTTTTAAGAGAATTTGTCTTTCTATATACTGTTCTATTCTGTTAATTTCATCTTCCAAATCATCAATCGCAATATTTTTTTCTATTCCTCTATCTGCTAAATATAAGGCCTGCCACTTTAACCACTAACTGAGCAAGTAGTTCTTCAATAACATCACTGTTTGGATTTGAATTTTCAATTTCGATTTAGGAATTTATCTAATACCTTCGAAGTAATAGTTCGCATAGATGCTTTTTTTTATATTTTCTCTATTGTACTTAATAGTGAAATAAAAGAATTTTTCAGACAGTTCGAAATTTAAAGCGATATATAAACCTAACAAATTTAATGATTTAAATTTTCAAATTATACAGTTCTTAGTTCACTTACCCATTTTCCTCAGAGTAACGACGCCATATTTACAAAGAATATGATCACATCAAATCTATCGATCCGAACATTTTTTGACTCATCAGTGGCCAAGTAGCCTGTAAAAACCACCACAAAGGCATTCTTTCCCTTAGATGGAGAACCATCGTACACTTCGTCATAGGTAATCAATTGACTAAGGGCATATGACACAAAAATGGATTACAAAAGTTAATCCTGCATATGGATTTCAAAAGAGAAAAGTATGATAGGCTAGTCTTCTCTGAGGTTACTTGGATGCTTTAGATCAAAACTCAGGTAAACGATTACTTTTTATTTTTCCCCTTTCTTCCGTTTCTGGTGGAAAAAAAGTGGTCCATTTCTCTCATCCAGTAGAAGATATATATATATGTAAAAGCACTTTATAGCTATGAAGCCGATATGAGTATATTTCTTTCGTAACATAAAGCAAAGGATGTTGCCGGAATTTTTGAAAAGGCAGGCAGAATTAGAAATTTACATAAATGCATTGCAAGCATTAAAAAGAGTCATTAAATTTAACACTTAATTAAAATTTCGTATCAAATAAAGGTTCAATCGTTTATTGAGGCTAAGTTTTATCAGCGTTAAATAAAATTTATGAATAAAATATCAACCAACTATATACCTTTTATTTAACTGCACTTTTTTTATTGAAATTACATCGCTTTTATAAAAAATTAATTTAAAATGCAGAAAATTCGTAAATTAATTATTTAGCATTACCCAGACACGCGCAAACAGAAACCATTAAATTAGCCGCAAATATGCAAAGACAACGGAATATAGTTATGAATACCTCTTCTACGTAAAGACAATTTTCTAAAGGTAGCAATCTTGGAATGTTTGAATCATTAAAGTAACATTAACAGAAACTTTTAAATTTAGAAGTAACATTCGTTTGTATATCTAGCAAGATATTTAAAATAAAAAAATAAATGAAGAACTAACCTAAGTGAACAGCTTCTGTAAAACCAGTAGTCGGATCCAGTCGGCAGATATCACCGACAAAATAATCGACATAATACAGTCGCTGGCTATGGACATCCCAATGGGGTCCTTCGCCAATATTGCTCAGTCTTTTCGAAACTGGTATCACTTTCATGACTAGCGATGCTTCTGATATTTGAATAAAAACTACACTCTCTTTTAAAGAGATCTTGATAGAGTGTCACGTGAACGGCTATTCATTGATAAGAACCTCGTAATCTCCTTTATTTCTATTTTCATTTTAATTTCCTTTTAGGTGTACATGAAATAGGTGCTACAAAATACGAAGGAAATTTAAAGAAGTATACGTTACTCACTTCTTGCGGAATAATGACTGAAACGTTGTATTCGCTGTTGATGAGGCTATTGTACTACTTAAAGCTCTTGTGATGACTTATAAAATGTTATCACTAATTATATTATGAATTAGTAAGCTCCAGTTTTCTAACGAATTGAATAATGCTTAAAATTTAAATGACCAATCAACGTACTTGTGTCCTGTCCAGCCATTGCTTTCAATCACCAATGATCTGTCTCGTCAATTTTCTTGACGTGTAAATAACTCATCGAGCGTTCGTCGAGAGCTAAATTTTTTTAACTGTTAAATGATCTCTTTCAGATTGTTTTTGATTGCCCTCATTGAATATCTTAAGTTCGATGTGATTTGAATCGGCATTAAAGGATTTCGCTTTAACTTAGAAGAAATTTTCGTTTTTCCATTTAGGGATGAAATGTAGCAGTGTAAATCAAATAGTAAATATACGCACTGCTGAATTCTTTAACTTAAGGATCACAAGTGTATTATCGCCTGATGTCAGAACGAATAGTAAAAAAGAGGTTGTGATAAGAGCTCTAAATGATGTTAAATAGCTTAAGTTCACGCCGGGAAATAATGTTATGAATCTTACTTCACGGCACCAATGTTATATAGAAGAAAGTTTCGCCACCAAGGTTAAATACTTTACTTCTAGGTACCAGTTATATCTGAAATTCCTATATTGTTAAATGTTAAATATGAAACTACTTGCCGTTAAAGGAAGTGATCGTATAGTGAAACGTGTACAGCATTTTTGCGTTGTGAAAAAGATGCATTCCGGGACCGCGCCGTGAGAGGATCGAAAACATAAAACATATACAAGATATAAAGGAAAAGTTCATATTAAATATATAAAGAAAACATACTGTAAGAGGTTCCAGATTAAATATCAGTTTATTCAATTACACAACACAATAAGAAAAATCTTAACCTCATCTGAGAGTCTGTTCATTTAAATTCATAAAAAAACTTAAGGTTTGTCTGGTGATTTAAAAGAAAGGAAAGGGAAACAATTTATGGCCTGAGAGTTAAAATTTTAGATTCGACGTTGTTTTTTACTGCTAAGGACGTTTTTGAAAAAAACTTGCCTAAAGTTCCAACACACCAAAAAAAATAATACTTATCTTGAGTGGACATCTTGAAGTGGAGGAGAGCTCATATCTTAGCTCTATCCTTACGTCACTTGGCAAATCCGCAAGACAGAGACTCGAACGGCACGACAATAAATTACATCAGCTATAACCGTCAAATCTTACGCCTGCTACTGGTTTCCATAGAAGAAAATTATTCCCACTGGAAGCAAGAGAACAGCTTACACCGCACGGCTGTCTGCCTAGACTCTCAGCTCCACCAAGGAAAAACGTAGACAATTAAGCTAGGCATTTTAGAGAACGGCTAACGCAGGCTTCCAGTTGACTAAGGTGACATAATTCCTTCTGTTTTCAAGTCGGAGTTCAGAGGACATCGTCCTGACTTTTGCCGATACAGATAGAGACCCAAGTCTCTGTTAATTTTTTTGTTATTCGCTCAACAGTTTTTTTTTTCTTCGCATTTTTGAGAAAACCCGCGGCCGGGGAGCATAATTGCCGCTCCCCGCCGGAAGCACTGCTCGATGCCGACTAACTCTTAAATCTTTCTCCTTTCTCCGGTCAAAGAGTAAGTGTGTCTCGCCTCTTAACCAAAACGCGGCCGGGGAGCATATTTGCCGCTCCCCGCCGGAAAAACACCTCTCGGAGTCACTTACATTTTGTCCAGCAAGCCCAAAAATCAGCGAGTCAGTCCGAGAGTCAGCCAAAAGTAAGTGTGTCCAACTCAAATTTCCTTCTTCTCCTTCACCAAAACGGGCTCCCACTATGGCTTCACTTATCGCCCCCTTAATTATGGCAAAATCTTCGTTTTCAACTCCAGAATGCGGAAATAAGGGTGATCGCGCATGCGCGCCCTTCTTCACTTAGCCAACAACCGGACCCTCAATCGCCAAAACCTGAATGACTTACATTGAAAGACAAGTAGCAACAACCTTTGACCTTTCCGTCACGTACTTTCCTCTCTTAAGGTCAACTAACAATGAAAATTCTTTCTCGAACATTCTAAAGCGCGCGCGAAATCATGACTTGGCGAAAATTGCCTCCCTTTCCCTGCTTCTTTCACAATGAATAAAAGTTTGTACAAGATTTACAAATAGAGGAAAATAAATAATACTTCTTTTAAACTAAATAATATTTCCAGAAGCATCTGTTTTTCCCCAAAATTAAAGCCTTAAAATAAATAATTCAGAATCAAATAAAAATTTAAATTTCCATAAATCATAAAATCATTCACCTAATTTTTTATAACGCTATCAGATAATTTCTCTACATAACATTCCTTTCCCCTAAGGAATTAAATTTTGGTTTACCAAAATTTAGCAGACAGACACTTCTTGAAATACCATGACTCATACTGTGCAATAAGGCTAAAGGATAACATAATGTAACAATATTTCACACGACTCCTTGGTAACAGTGACGTCACTGACACATTAAATTTAAAGTCCAAAATGTGCAAGTAAAACAACAAGATTAATCAAAGCAATTACTAATTAAAATACTCAAGGAAGATCATCAAAAATAATTAATCAAAACATCAATTAAATCACTTAATTAAACCTAGAAATACTCAGAACACATACAAAAATAAAAATAAAAAATAAGGCGCTAATCACAAACAAAATATGTCTAAGATCAATCAATAAGATAATTAACGCGCCGCAGATACATAAAATACATTCCTGAGAAATAAAACACACTAATAATTCAAACAATTCCAAATAAAATATGTCACATGAACGTATTCAAATAAGGAGTAAAGACCCCCTAAGTACTACGAAATTGAATAACTTCCAAGAATTGAATCCCAAACAATCACGTCTAAGAACAGAAGCGGCCTGATCAGGGCCAAGCATTAGAAAAGAAAAGAACGTTACAACACAAGGAACCTCGGAACCAGCCGAAAATACCCCACACAAAGAAATCAGAAAGAAGGAAAACGTGATTGTCCAAAAATTCAATCCAACCAAAATCAATTCCGAGAAATGAACATAACGAATACGCTGTGCAAATACCAATTAGAATTTTATCCAAAACACACAAAAATAATAGTAATAATACAACCTAATGCATATACAAAATAACGTTTGGCCAATAATTACAAAACAGATACTACCAAGATACACATATAGACATAAAATGAAAATACAATTAAACTGTAAAAATTTCGTACATAATTCAAATGAGCAATGAGATCAGTGATACTTAAAAAAAAAAATTTAAAACTGCAATACCTAAACAAATACACAAATAGTCATTATGTTAAACCATATCAAGTCAAAAATATTTCACTGTAATTCAAATCAAGCCAAAAAAAAAAAATCAACCAGCAAGAGTGAAGTGTCCGCTAAAAAAATTTCAAACCTCACGGTAAACACTAGTGAGTAACAACACCAAACTTTAAGTCCCCTTAGTAAGACAACACCAAAAAAAAATTCAGTAATTCTAAAAAATCCATTAGGTCCACGAAAAAAAAATTTCAACTAGTCAAAGAAATCAATCAAAGCTGGACTGAAGCACGTTACTAGAACACTAAATAAAATATCACAAATCAAAAAAGTGTTCAAAACAAACCCCCCAATTTAGGCAAAAAACTGAGATCTATTCTGCATCAGACTTTTCCAAAACGTTGTATAGTAACCTAAGTAGCAGCCTTCAGCAACACCTCCACCCAAACAAAAGAAACAAAGTAACCCTTTACCGCGTCCATGTAAGCTGAGAAAAGCGCTGTATTATAAATGACAGACTCAAACTTTACGTATCAAGCAAACCTCCAGACACGTTGAAAGAGAACATAAGATCTCTTATCTCGGAAAGAAAAGTGCGCTGACTGAAACGTTACAATCCTGAACCAACACAATGAAAAAGATACAACAATAGCTTTTCTCAGATAACAAGTTCCTGTTTGCCCCGGTGTAAGAGGTCAAGTGCCACCATGAAGTGCAAGTATTTACAAGAAAACGAGCTTTCAGGACATTACAACTTCACGCAAGACCTAACTGCAAGCAACAAATGCAAAGTTCTCAAAAGTGCTAAACTAAAAAAAAGTACTTACTCATAACTCATAACTCAAAAATCCCTAAAAATCACACAAATGAAATCCATAACTCAAATTCTACTATTTTCCTATGACCACAGAAATCTCAATTCTTCCACAGAAACTAAACATCAGAGAACTTACATTTTACGGACCTTGGCAGAAACCACCAAAAACAAAACAAAAACCTGATACAACTATCTTGATACTACCAATTCAAATACAAAACTTAAGCCAAAACAAGAATTAACCCCAAATTCAGCAACAAGTCCAACCAAGAAAGAAAATTCAATAACTCAAATCAAATCTATTACGATTCACTAGCAAATTCAAGACAAACTACTTGTAATCAACAGAAAATTCCCACACATGAGTACAGAGCAAAAGTAACTAATCTTCTCAAACTTATTTCAAAAATTTCATAAAACCAATTCCCGTTGTCACAAAATTCTCATTAAATTCACTTTCTACCATTCACAAGACTAAATTTCTACTGGTTAAACAATTCTCACATGACAACTTTTCACAAACTTAAAACTCAGAAGATAACTAATCTCAATTACTCTGACTCATTAAACTAATCAGAACTTCACTCAAGCTGATGAATTCAATCCAAAAAAAAATTAAATAACCAAACATCACTATTGCTGATCTCAGGCAAAAATTCAAATCTAACCCATGTTCACTTTAAAAACAGAATTTTGCAATTGAAAAAACAATCTTCAATTTTTTTTTAACT